CCTCTCAAGCCTGTCAAGGCCAGGTCCCTGTGGATGACATCCCTTCCCTCCAGTGTGTTGAGTGAACCACACAACTGGAATCACAGATACTGACAACAACACAAAACACTTAAAACCTGATTCTGTTCCTTCTTTGAGGGATCAGATGCAGCTGTAGTCAAGTAACGCAGTGTCCTGTGTTGGAGCTTAAATTCCTGCTAGAACTTATTATAAGCTGCTTGGGAAAAGCCTCATTTTCTGCTTCTCTTGCATTTTCCAGGAACAGTTCCTTTGCTATTTACTCTTTGTGGGTGTATTTGTGTGGTGCAGAGTAGGATTCAAACCCTCTTCCCCTCACAGGCTGCATGGTCTGGAGTGACCTTACAAAAGCTCGTCAGTCTGAAGCGGTGGCTCTGTATTTGTGCAGTAACACTGGATATCTCCAATCTGTTAACTCATTTGTGGGTGAAAGACCACAGCCTCTGGGATCCGTGTCTCAAATTCTTTGTGTTGTGAAATACAAATGGCATAATTGTTTGCTTAATACTTATTATACTGCCAACCAGTTCTTAAGCTGTGAGTGGCATTTTTCTGGCTGTCAACAATCTCGCAGGAAGCTCCAGTCCTAGAACCTGAGATTTCTTGTTACCTTTGAGGACTAAAGTGCCAGAATCATTAGCGATTCCTTCCTAGCTGTGGAAATGAGAGAAATTAACTGTTGACCTTAGGATCCTGTTCTTAGAGAAACAAGGACCTATTTAATCTAGCAACGTGTTTTAATTTTGTGGTCATTGTTATATTGATGATTGAAGAGCTTCTGCCTCAGCCAGTTCTTAATTATTAGCTGTATTTCTGTAGGGTGATAGGAAAGCACGTTGTCAAGGTTCAGTGTTAATTGAGCAATTACCACCAGTAGGGTATGAAAGCACTGGTAGCAAACTCAAATTCTTCTCGTGTTTAGCGTGGAGACCATGTCCCTCAGAAATGCAAACAACCCTGGTGATATCAGTTCCAGTATGATGGAAAACAGCAAAGCTCGAGATTGCCTTATTCCTATGGGGTAAGTAAGTGTTTCCTCTTCCCAAAGTTTTTAGGGTTTTCTAGATGGTCTGTCTCCTCGGTGACCGCTCTGTCTCAGTCTGAAATCCGTGAGCTTGGATCTGCGTATGTCAGCATCCTCCTTGGTTGTGGTAGAGGATTCATTGTGTGAAATGGGGAGAAGATCAGAGACTCTGATGAAAGATTGCCTTGTCTTATGTCTTAAGCTCGTGGCTTAATGAGCAAAAACTTGAGGGTGGATTTGAACCTTGTTTTGGTTCTGGATTTGATTCAGGATCCGCTTCTGCCAAGCAGTTCTAGGTTGAGAAGGCAGCAGTTAGCTTTGAGACTAAAGCCAATGCTTGTAGCTTGTGTTGTCTTAGTAGAAGCCAGTTTCAGCTCCGTGAGCTGTGTCGTTGGAATTAACTCTTATGATTTTGTTTTCCCCAGAATAACCTCAGAAAATGTAGCAGAGAAGTTTGGAGTTTCCCGAAAGAAGCAAGATGCCTTTGCCTTGGCTTCCCAACAAAAGTAAATGTTTGTTTGTTTGTTTTTTAAACCTTTTAGTGAAGGAATAAATACAGCTAGAGAATGCATTGCTGCTTCCCACGAGTGGTTGTGTGTAGCCTTCGTGTTGCCTTCCAAACCTTAATAGTGAGTAAAGAACCTTGAGATGGTCAGAGCAAAGACCTGTGCATGTCTGGGGTTGTGTGATAAGGAACCCCAAGTCCAGAGCTGTACTGGGGGTTGAGTGACTCACCTCACACATGTATCACCGGCCATGTGAGCCTTGAGCAGTGGGTGCCCCTGTGCTTCTCAGCATCCAAAAGGTGAAACCTCCATGAGGTTTCTGAAACAAATGTAGGGTTCAATATTTTCCTAATGGCTTTGGCTCAGTATCATGAGACTGAACGTGGGAGTAGCTGCAGAAGGAACCTTTCCTAGGAGGGATTATTTAAATGGAGCTGTTTCTAGAGAACTGCCAAGTTTATGAGAAGAGTGGCTTGTCTTTGCTGCAGGTGTTTGGCTCCAAGTGAGTCCAGTTCTACCTCTAATAACCTTCCTTTTGGTTAAATCATCGCCAAAGTAAACTGACCCCTGGAATCCGTGGGCCTGTACAGTGACAGGCGACACGTTAACGTTGCTGCCGTCAAAGAGTTAAACTAACTCTCCGAGCTCTGTTTAAGCATCGCCCCGGTCCAATTATTTATCTAATACAGGAAGCCACTGCACAGACCAGTTAACCTTTAAATTCTGGCCCTGCTTCTAGGGAACCTGGCGTGCCAGCCTTTCTCACTGACACTGAACTGATAACGCAGAAGGGTATGTGAACGCGATCCTCGCCTCTCACGTGAGGAAAGGGGCGATGTTCTGGCCTCGGTCTCAGGATGTCTGCGGAGTTACTGATCTGTCCTTCAGCACTTCGCTCTAACTCTCACTTACCTGAGAGTATTAAGTGTTTTCATTTTGTTCAAAGTGTAAAGCGATGAGAGGGTAAAACAGACTTCCAGTCTCCCATTTGTATTCCCTCTAAAGGGTGCTCTGTTGCTGGAAGGTAAATCTCTCTTCTAATCCTTCTGGAAGGTAAATCTCCTCTACTGTGGAGGCTTTTAAATACCTTGTTGATGTGAAAGATTAAAACAGTGTGTCCTGAGCTAGTTCTAATTTAGCTGATTGCATTCTGCCTACTGACATGATCAGTCTGGTCATGTCACTTGTTCCCTACTGCTAATGCTGCTGTCTCAGGGTCCAGACCCTATCTTTGCTGCACCTTTGCTGCTAAATTAAATGATACCCTTCTATGCAGTCACACTGAACTGTGCAACAGAAATTGCAATGATTTGGAGTTGAAGGGTTACATTTAAATGAGAGATTATACCTGAAGTCTGTGATCTAAAGCTTCACTTGTCTTTAGTAGGATAAAACCAGGAATGAGTGAAACTTCAGCTGTTCCTTAACTTGTCAGGAATTATTGGCGTGATGCAGAGGCTCAGCCCGCTTGCCCTGTTTAAACTCAAAAATAAGAATGGATGTTTGAACATCAGGATTCATTTATTTTCTTATCACAGTTGTGATGTGACTGTACCACTGGACAAGTACAACTTCATGCTGTGGGCTGGTGGTGGTCAGTCAGTCACAAAGGTGATGATGGGAACAGAATGGGGATCTTACTCAGAAGCATGTGATCCTCTGACCCAATTTGGGGAGAATGCCCTTAATGTTAGCAATATATTTCCCATGATGTAGAGGTAAGAAGTTTGTCTTCCCATGAGTGGAAATAAGTATTTACCTGTCTTCTTGTCCACTACTCAGCAATGATGTGCCTGTGTACCAAGCCACACCTGAGTTCATCCTTTTACTAACTGATTTCCTTGACATTCGTTCTCTTGCAATTCACCTCCAGAATATTTTAACCTTTTCTTACTCTTCCTTAACAGAGCAGCAAAAGCTCAGCAGATGGGACTGTTTAAATCTGAGATTGTTCCAGTGAAGACCACTGTTCTAGATAATCAGGGCAACCAAAAAACAATCACCGTGCACCAAGATGAAGGGATTAGGCCCTCCACGACCCTGGAAGGCTTGGCAAAGCTGAAGCCTGCCTTCAAAGAGGATGGCAGCACTACAGCAGGTCAGCTCTGGTGGTAGATTTGTGTTGTTCCTGTGGTTTATCTGCCTTGTAAAAGAATGTGCTTAAGAAAAAAAAGGTGTGAATAGATCTTTTCCAACAGGTAATGCCAGCCAGGTCAGTGATGGAGCAGCTGCTGTTCTCCTTGCAAAACGTTCAAAAGCAGCACAGCTGGGACTCCCAGTCCTGGGGGTGCTCAGGTCCTTTGCTGTGGTTGGAGTCCCACCCGATGTCATGGGCATAGGACCAGCCTACGCAATCCCTGTAGCTGTGGAGAAGGCGGGTAAGAGCCATTTGTCATTCGTACAGTGTTTGGCACAAGGCAGATCAGACTCTGTGGACTGAAATTTAAGGTTATATTATTCTAGCATGTGCAGCTGTCAGCCATAGGAACGGTGAACTGAAATTCCAAACATTAAAAGGGATCCCAGCTGGGATTATTGTAATACTGTCCACTTGCACTCCTGTATAAATTGTCATTCACTCACCTCTGAGACTCTCAGGATTAAATCCCTGCACAGTCTCAATAAACGTAGAATCCTAGAATGGTTTAGGTTGGAAGGGACCTTAAAGCTCATCCAGTTCCAATCCCCCTGCCATCAGCAGGGACACCTTCCACTAGACCAGGTTGCTCAAAGCCTCATCCAGCCTGGCCTTGAACGTTTCCAGGGAAGGGGCATCCACATGTGGCAAGTGATTTAGTGTTTGTTTAGTGATGTTTTCCTTATTATGACCAGTGTGTGTGTGGAGGTAGATTTTGTAGGGTTTTTTTAATTTTCTTTACAATTTCCAGACCTGTGGAACAGGCTTTCCTCAGGGTTCTTATCATGCTCATCAGGTTAAATAGCTTTTGTAGCTGATGATTATTATTGTATCCGCCTATCATTGCCATGGTCACATGATCACCTATAGTTTTACCTTTCAGTCTCGAAATACCCTTCAATCTTTAATCCCTCTGCAAAGAAATCACATTTAATCTGAGGAAACTTGGCAAACTCAGTAACACAATACCATGGACTGTGATGGTTTGCAATGTTCAGACATTGTTGTACATAAACCTGCCTACAAGTATAGACACCCCACGTGGAGCCAAGGTCCCCCTCTTTGTCATAGTGGAGTAGAACTACAATTCATAAAGGGTGGCTGTGAGTGAATTATTCTCTTTCATATAGTCATAAGGCAAAAATCCTTCCTTTAAAATCCTGACTTTTCTGAACCATAGGTCTGACTCTGAATGACATTGATATATATGAAATTAATGAAGCCTTTGCCAGCCAGGTGAGTGATCATCCTGTTTGAGTTGCTGCATTGCTTGGTAGCTGAGTATATTTCAGCTTGGTCTTCAAATTCAGATATGAACTTGTTCCACTCATTACATCTTCAGCCAGATGTTAATAACATGCACAGGCTATTTTCTCTTTCCTTCAAATAAAAATAAGCAGGACATTGCTTATACAGCTTCATATTTTAAACCAAAACAAACAGAAGAATATGTCCACCGAGTAGGAATGCGATCTTTACTATCATACCCTCATACCAACGTGCAAAATCTGTTTCACAGGGGCTGTAATTTGTTACTGGGTGGTGGCAGAGTGAATGTGTTGTGCTTCACTGGTGTGGAGGTCCTTAGTGAAAGGTAGAAGCTTCACTACTGTGTCTTCCACAAATCTATGACACGATGGCCATAGCTCACTTCTTGTGCTTTGGCCTTGTAATTATAGTTCCACTCCATTCCACTGGGAAAGATGGTCTAACTGGAGTCAGGCCTCGTAAAGTACTAACTGGTTAAGAGCAACTGACGCAATGATTTGGAGTTTGTGTAATAAAAAAACATAGTTTGAGCTAAATTCTTTTTAATTACACATCTTTTGAAAGCCCCTAGAGCTGCCTAGGATGCTTTGCTGTCCCTCTCTTCATACGGATGAGATCACCACTCTTCCCTGCAGCCCTCTTAGCTCTGTATGGCAGGAGAGCTGAGAACTAAGGGAGGTGAGAACATCTTGATGAAACCATTCCCTCTGTCTTCCTAGGCTGTGTACTGTGTTGAAAAGCTGGGCATTCCCATGGAGAAGGTCAACCCCCTGGGAGGAGCAATAGCACTGGGGCACCCACTGGGCTGTACTGGTGCTCGTCAAGTTGTCACTCTGCTCCATGAATTGAAGCGCAGAGGGAAAAGGTGAGCACTGAGGAACAGTATGAGCCTGAATGCCTTACGTGTACGTCAGTAACGTAGGCCCAGGGGTAACCATCAGCTTGGGTTAAGCTTTCTCCATCCCTTTGATAGCGTTGGACAGTGTCACTGGGCTGCACCTTGGGATGAGCTGTGCCCTGGCCTAGAGGGGAGGGCAACAGTGATGGTGGGCTGTAAGATGCCAAGGAAACTGGGCAGTGACAATAAACCACCTTGAGCTGAAGCGGAAGAACATGCTCTGAAACCAAGCTTTCCACTCTGATTTTCCACAAATCCTACTGCATGTGATCTGTACCAGGAATAGTGTGGCCAGTAGGACCAGGGCAGTTCTCTCACCCCTGTACTCGCACTGGTGAGGCCGCAGCTCGAGTGCTGGGTTCAGTTTTGGGCCCCTCACTCCCAGAAGGACATGGAGGTGCTGGAGCGTGTCCAGAGAAGGGCAACGGAGCTGGGGAAGGGTCTGGAGCACAAGTGTGCTGAGTTCCCTTGTGGCTGAGGGAACTGGGGTTGTTCAGCCTGGAGAAAAGGAGGCTGAGGGGAGAGAGACCTTCTGGCTCTGTCCAAGTCCCTTGGAGGAGGGTGGAGAGAGGTGGGGGTGGGTCTGTTCAACCAAGGAGGAAGTGAGAGGACAAGAGGAAATGGCCTCAAATTGCACCAAAGGCAGTTGAGATGGGATGTGAAGAAGAATTTCTCTGCTGCAAGGGTTCTGAGGCATTGGAAGGGGTTGCCCAGGGCAGTGGTGGAGTCCCCATCCCTGGAGGGACTGAAGAGTGGTGTAGACACATTGCTGAGCGACATGGGTTAGTCGGGGACTTGTCAGTGTTGGGTTTATGATTGGACTCGATGATCTTAAAGGTCTTTTCCAATCCAGGCAATTCTGTGATCATCTGGTTATCCAGATTTACCTTGAACTTTACAGATCAAGGCCCCGTGAAGGGCAGCAGTAGGAGGCAGGAAAGGAAGATTTTCTTCCTCAACCCATCTAAATCAAAGCAGTTCTCCTAGCTCAGCCTCGCTGCTGGTATGTCTGAGGCAGGTGGCTAAGGAGCTTGCTTCTGGCACACCACTCCTGTCCAGAAAGCAGGCGGAGAATCGTGTCCATGTGCTCTGCAACCACCACCTAGCAAGAACTCCAGAGCAGCGGGACCTGCTCCAGAGTTAGAATCTCTTGGTGACACAGGAGTGTCAGCGCAGTGGGTAGCTAAAATTTGTTGTATTCTTTTTCCCCCCCATGATCTAAACCTGATCTGTGTCTAATTCCACGTGTTCTTTCCTTTCAGAGCGTACGGTGTTGTATCGATGTGCATCGGCACTGGCATGGGTGCAGCAGCAGTATTTGAGTACCCAGGGAACTAAACTCCAGTGTACTGATGAAACAACCCAACAGCTAATTCTCTGCCTTCTCTAGTAATAGCAAATGATTTGCACTGTGAAATCAAGTGGATTCAGGGATTCGTTAGTAGATCTGCAAATTTTAGGCACAAATTGCAAAGCAAAATAAATGGTACAGATCTACTAAAGCAGGGGGGGAAATGCAAAACTGGCCTTTGCTTCAGAGTTAAAATGAGAAATGAGTTCAGCTGAAGTTCAGCTACAGGCCCTTGTGTGGTGATTATGAATTAATATTTCTAATCTAATTGATCCCTTTATTCTGTGAATATTATCAGAGAGAAGTAGTCCATGGTACGGTATTTTTGTATGACAAATTGTCTAAAATGGTTGCTTAAAAGGAAAACAACAGTGCACGTGAAAGAGCTTTACCAGGGTTCTCTTAAAAGATTTCACCATCTTGCAAGAAGCCTAGAACAGCTGGTTGGGAAAGCAGTGCAGTGTCATTTCCTTTACCACCATGTCTGTCCTCCCCACTCATAAGTTGGCTGTGTCTTAAACTGTCCCTGTGCTGGAAGATGTGCTGTGCCTTTCTCCTCTTCACCAGGCTGCTCTGAAGTCTCCCGTGGGGGCAGGTGGAAAGACTAGAATGTAATTTACTCAGGAGCAAACAAACTGCTGGGGTGCCCAATTAGAAAGGTTTTGATGAATGTGAAAGTGGCTGTTCCATCTTTTACAACGCATTTCTAATTACCAGCTTGTGTGACTTTACTTAGAGGACAAGCTTATGCTTAATAATTTACTTACCTAACATGAAACAGATTTCAGCATTTCTCTTACTGCAAACACTACAGGAACATCACCGAATTTGTGTTTCATCTTATAAAATTCTCTCTTATGAGCAGAAAGAGAGCTCGCTAAAACTCTGAGCTAACAGCTTGAAAAATAAATGTACTCATCATCTTTGACATGTTGGGAAAGTTTAAATTTGTAACCCAGACTGCACTTCGTTTTTGCACTTAATACAATTGGATTCTTGCAGTAGATTTGTTTTATTTTTATGGTGCTTGTTAGTTAAAGGTTGTGGTTAGTTAGAGCTATTTGATATTCTCATGTTCCCGTCTTGCTCACTTGGCAATCACAAGTGCTGTATTTTACAGCAAAAAGATGAAGTTATTTAGAGGGGACAGAGAGGCATCAGCGTCTTCAAGGGTCCTATTTTCACCCTGAGGTTCCTGTGTATCAAATGGGTTCTCGGTGTTAGGACGAGTCTGTTTTAAACTGGGCAGAAGGCAGCTTATCATCCATCTTTTGTTCTCCTCCAGTGTGGAGTGCAGCCCCCTCCTCCCCACACAAACTGCCTTTAACAAAAACCTTTTATATGATGAGAGTGGAAAACTTCACAGGCTCAGAAGTGGGAATTTCAGTGACCTTTAGCTAAAGTAATACTAAAAGCATTTAAAGAGAAGTGAGTAAATGGGAACCATGTGGGGGGAAAGAATTAAAAGGAAGAAGGGTTCCTCCCTCCATAGCTGAAGGGGATGTTCTCAATACCCAAACATGATGAAACATGCAGGTTGGTAATTTTCCAAGGAGTCCAGGGAAAGTTGGCTCTTCCCCTTTTCGTGTAAGGCACGGAGAAAACAGCCCAGGGAATGCTGGCCTATTTGCTAATTCTTGCTTTTATTATGTGTCAATGTCCATTTTAATGTCAAACAAATAAACAAGGTAAAACAAAACCTACTTTTTTAAGGTATGAAGAGTTTTTAATTGTAATTTGAGGCATACTGTGATATGCAAAGGGTTTCACCTAACTGGTACCATGGCTGCTTTGCAATGTAAAACTAACTACTTTGCAAAGCCTGGTTCTGTGGGTAAAGTTGAGTTTATCACAGCAATTAAAGTAAGAACATGGAATGAGATGAGGCCTTTTTTTTTCCTCATAACTTAAAATTTCATTCTGCTGAAGTTCCAGTCCTCATTAAAACAACTGAAGTAGATGAAAACAGGCTCAACTGCTGGCACATCTGCATCTGACCCATTACCTTGACCCTTGTCCCACGTTGTCTTGTTTAAATTAAATACGGGTCTTCATACTTCCCATCGTAACTTCCTCGTCCCCTGATCTGTAGCTTGCAAGGCTTCTCTCCCAGCATCCCAGTAATGGTGACGGTAGTTTCATATTCAATGTCGTTCCTAAAAAACACAGAACAAAAAGACAGTTCAGTTACAGCTGGATGCAAGTCTGGGTTTAAGGAGGAAAAAAGGGGAGAATGGTGCCCAAAGGCATAAACTGCTCTTAGGCAGAAGCGTTAGTGTCGAGTCTGCAGGTGGCAACCTCACTCCATGGCGTTGTGTCCCATGGCTACGTGTAGGATATAAGAATTGTCCAGTCTCTACCTCAAGTAAAGACATTGGATCATTCACTTCATGTTTGAAAGAAACTGAGTATCTTCCTACTTGTGAAATTCTATTTTAGTTCAATAAATAAAACGAAGCTCTGCTGGGGGCTGGTGTTTGGGAGCAAATATCTGCAACTGCCTTGGTGGGAATACTCATCCCTGTGACAGACCAAGTTTGAAGCTAAAAAGTTTCTGTCAACACCCCTATAACCAAGGGCAGTCAGTGGAGTCCAGGTTGTAAAGGAACATCCAAAACCTTACAGCCAGTGTAGTTTTGGGCTGTTAAGTCTTACAGCCTAAGGCTAATGCTACCCAACGCTCCTGAGACTGTTCATCTGAAGGACTTCTCTGTGTCCAAGAGACAGCGGTTATAAAGGCCTGAGGCAAGAGCCTGCTCTGCCAGACAACTCTGGTTTTTTTCCTTCTCATACAAAATTCTCCTGCAGGAAGACCACTGATTTAGGGAGGCAAATTATTAAAATCACCTCACACCTTGCATAGAATTATTTACTAATGCCATGCTGGTCCTGAGCTCTGCCTGTGTTGGGAATACCTTGTCTGGAGCTGAACAGATGAGCTGGCTGCTGTACTGCACATCTTTGCTTTCAGGCACACTGATTAGTGTATCTTCAAGCATATTCAGAACCACTCTGGAAAAATTCTGACAGTCAGGAGCCTGGGGAGGTCCCTGCTCAGAGTAGCTGCTCAAGGCTTCAGCTCACTGAGATTTCAGCAACTCCAGTGATGGAGATCTCACAGCATGTTCCAGGGAGATCAAAGCTATGACAGTAACTCCTGTCACCTGTAGTTTTCTTCTTGAAACTTCCCTGTCAGCAGTGTTCAGAGTTCACTGAAATCACTGGGATAGACTTGTCTCAACTCAAACTCTCTGCCACCATGTGATAACTTCCAAGAAAATAATTTGTAGTGGAAGCTGAATTTTCTTACAGGAGCTGTATCTCTTTAATTAGAGCAAAGAAATTCAAGGTGCTGGGTCGCTACCTCTGCTGTTCACAAATAATCTCTGGCCTCAACAAAAGGTTATGATAAGATCACCGTAAACGTAATTAGAATAATATTAGATGTTGATAGGACACAGTCATTTGCATCTTCTCTCTTCTGTTCTTTGCTGCCATTTGCCTGCAGCTCACATTATCTTTGTGGTGTAGAATAAGTTTGTACTACAGGCAACAAAAATACACCCATTTTTTTCCTTCTCATCAAACATCAACATGAGTGTAACATTAAACATTGCACCAGGCTGAGCAAGGGTAAAACAAATGGTATCACTGCTGCAGAATAACATTTTGCTCTATTTACTTCATCAGGAAGTGCTCTGAATGCATGTAGGGAAGTGAGGAAATTCAAAAAGTTACTTTTAGAGAGAAGCCACATAAACAATAATGAAGGATCCCTGAGATTTACTGCAAAAGACATTGCACCTGCACAACGAACGGATGCTTTACTGGAATTCTGAGATAATCCAGAAACATTTCTCCCTCTGTCCTAAGAAGTGCTGGATGCATAAAGGACCCAGCTGTTGTATCAGCCTCTGCACCACTGAGTTACAGGCCTGAGATTTGTCCTCAGTTGAAGACGTTGGCCTAAGGAAAGGGATTTTATCCAGTGGTACATGATCAGTGTGTCATGCCAAGTGTTGGAACAGCATGATTTTGAGTGGGTAAATCTAAAGTCTGAAATTCTGGGTGCCAATTCCTAAAGAAATCCCATATCTGGGAGCAGTAAAAAGGTTATATGGGAACAGTACCAGCTGGAAGCCCAGGACTGACAAGTGGTAGAGGCAAAATGAGCAGCCTGAGAACGCAAGAACAGAGCAAAACTGCTCTTTGCTTTCAGTGACTACTCACAGCCTAAGTCTGGGCTTGACAGGGCACGACAGCAGGATTTGAGTCCTGTTAACTGTACCTTGCAGTAAAGCTGATCTGCAACATCTCTTTGGTAGGTGGGTCCCCTTCACGTGCCTCCAAAATGCCGTTAGTAGGGGAGACAGAGAACACTTCTGGGTCGGTGTGCCTTTCCTCTTCATCTGCAGGGAGAGAGGCAAATATCAAAGACAAGACCCTTTGTATAAGTTTGTACAGCACGTAGCACTCAAAACAACGTGCCTCTTGCTAGCCAACTAATAAATCATGTCTTGCGCTGTCAGAAGCTTTCTGTGCATGTGGCCAGCTTCTGTTTTTATCCTCTGAGCCGGAAGAGTGATCAATGGCATCCACATCAAAGTAATCAAGCCCTGATCTTCTTTCCTTTGAAATCCATCTGCTGTTAACATCATTAGGCGCAAGCTCAGACCGAACTCATGAGGAGCTGCTGCTTCTTTTTGCCTCTTAGGATTGTATTATGAATGAACAAAGCATGTCCACTACCTGTGAGAGTTGTGATTCAATCTTCTGGTTAAATCTGGAGTAACTGCTGGAATCAGTAGAGATACACTGATGTAAAAAAAAAAAAAAAAAGAAAAAAAGAAAAAAAAAAAAAAAAAAAAGAAAATAGAAAATAGAAAAAGCCCACACAAGTGAGAACAGCAGCAGACCGGATATGTTTGCAGCCAACATAATCATAGAATGGTCTGGGTTGGAAGGGACCTCAAAGATCATCCAGTTCCAACCCCCCTGCCAGCAGCAGGGACACCTTCCACCAGACCAGGTTGCTCAAAGCCTCATCCAGCCTGGCCTTGAACATTTCCAGGGACAGCTTCTCTGGGCAATGATCATAGATGGGCTATATATTGAGTGAGTGCATGCAGTCTTACTAAATAAAGACACTGAAGAATGAAACTATATAACAAGGAAATCCAATTGCAAAA